GGAAATCTAGCCGTCGTTTATGTTCAATTGTGGCATTCTGTATCATCGTAGTAGGCCGCTTTTACCTCCCATTACCTGAAATGGGACGGCACCAAGACGCTGTGGAGGAGAGTGGGGTAAAGCGGAAATTTGGTGTCTAGCAATGCTATCCAAATATTTATATGCCGGTGACTACAGTTTGACAAAAAAAATGTCTACAAATTTATTTTATTTTAAATATATATTTTATTATTATCTCCCGTAGGTTTTGACACTGGTGAACATTTTCAAATCATATGCATAAACCAAACAAAGTGCATCTAATGTTAGGCCAATAAAATTGTCGAAAATACCTCATTTTTGCCAAAAAAATAGTTCAGTAATTGAAAATATGTAAAAATTAGAAAAAATTCCGTAGAATTCAATGAACTACTTTACTCCACCTGAATTTTTGGGCTTCATTTTCAAAATGGCACCCAAAGTTCGCAAAAAACATTTTTTTCTTCATTTATAAAAAAAATAAACATTTAAAAAAAAATGTTTCAAACAAAGGTTGTAAGAATGTTTAATACGGATTGAATAAGCCCAAACCAGTTTTGATCGATAAATAAATTAATTAGGTAGCTATTGCAAAAAAAACTGCTAAAAATCGCAATTTCTTCAAATAGCTGTATCTCTTTCAAAAGTAAATATTTTTTATGAAACTTGGTGAAAGGATAGCTGTTGCTGAGCAAAATAAAATGATTTTTTCAAAATTATGTAAATACAAATTGATACTGATAAAAAAGCTTTATAAATGAAAAGAAAAAATACACGTAGTTCGTTACGTAGGATCGACATATTAAATAGTAGTACTACAGTCTTCTCCCCCCCCCCCATCAACGTGTCGAGCTATATACGGGCCCCATAAAAATTAAGTTTAATGAAAGAAAATGGGATCAATCGTTACCAACTATTTTTTATATTGAAGTACAAGTATTCAACTATAACATATGTAAATTTCAGCCCTTAATATTAATAAATGAGGTCGTGCAGATTTTTCGATAAAAAAATGTTTCTCGTCCCTTGTTGTTGGTCGTAGGACAGACTTTTTTTAAAATTCGTGTAATAATATCAACTTTCGAATGGCAGTATCGACATTTGGATACGAATTGAAACAAAAACCGAGACAAAAACGATTTTTCGATCGTTTTTTGCGATATTTGAAATCGATTTGAGGCTCGCGCAATATTTGCACATAATAGTAAAGAAAATTTTAAGCCCAACCTCGTTCCTAAAGATGTGGCGGCCTATGAATTATGGGGATTTTACAAAAACGGTTTTTTTTCAAATAAAACCGATTTTTGCAAAACCTATAAAATATTATTCAATTTTGAAAAAATCATTTTATTTTGCTCACCAAGAGCTATCATTTCATCAAGTTTCATAAAAAAATATTTATTTTTGAAAGAGATACAGCTATTTGAAAAAATTGCGGTTTTTTTGCAATAACTAATTAATTTATTTATCGATCAGAACCGGATTGGGCTTATTCGATCCGTATTAAAAATTCCTACAATTGATAAATTTTTTCTAAAATGTTTAGTTTTTTTATAAATGAAATAAACTGGTTTTTGCGAACCTTAGACGCCATTTTGTAAATAAAACCCAAAAATTCAGGTGGGATAAAGTAGTTCAACGGAATTTTTCCTAATTTTTACATATTTTCAATTATGTAGGTACTGAACTATTTTCTGGCACCTGAAAAAGTAATTTGATTGGACTATGCATCAGTTATGCTCTCGATTATGCTATTTATAAATATTTTAAATAATAATGGTCCCACAACGGAAACCTGTGGTAGGTAAACCGGAAATAGCCAGAAATCCAATAGATTTAAAGTGAATTTCAAAAGGCTAATTTAGATAACCTGTTTAACAATATCTTATGACTGAATCTATCAAACGCTTTTTTTTAAAGTAAACTAGTGTTCGTTGATCGGCCTTTCATGAATTCATGTTCACAGGTGGATATTTGTTTGTTAATAGCTCAAAATCGAGCTCAAAACTGACATCCAAGTACTGCAGTTTTGGGGTATTCTAGCTAATATACTTAGAAATCTTGAACTGTCTATCCAAGTCTTGTTCCAAGTATATTAAGTTTTAAGGTCCCTCTCACCCCCATCTCGAACAGGTCGCATCGTGCTTCGAGGCCACTTTAAAATACCATCCTTAGTTTCTATTATTATCGCCACTATCATCGTCGTCATATCTGGGAACAATGCGACGTGACTCTTCCTATAGGTAGTATTTTCCCTCACAAATCAGTGTGACGTATTTCCCGGTATACGAACCGTTTTTTGCCCGGCCCTTTACGGCTACAAATAGTTTAGTCGACGACGGCTTTCGGCGGGCGTTGATAAATTACGGTTAAATTTTACATTAACTTGGCGAAACTGAAGCTGTTATTTCAACTGCCACCCTATTAAGTTTTTTGCCATCCTGTTCTAATATTATGACGGAACCGAGAAGTTGCCCCTGCACCACTCGTCGCGGGTATATAAACGGAGCGTCGGCGGCGTCGTCCATGGGGCGACGCTTGTTTCACGCGTCTTCCTTCAATTGTGGTACACTTTCGGTTAATTTTTATTGGCGGTTTATCCAGTCAATCAATTTTTTTTTAACACGATCTAAAGAATCCACTTTATAACAGGCATTTTATAAATATAAAAGTATTATATATTAATATAGATATCCTCTGCTGCTTTGTGAAGTTTAGAGGTGTAAATAAATTAACAAATCCTGACTAACTTGATTGGTTTTCCCTATACAGAAAACTCGAATAATAATATACGTATTATAAATACAATACAATTTATAAAAAAATTAATGTTTTATTGCCTTATGTAAAGAATTATTACCAAAAAATATATCCTAGAACTTTTGAATAGCTACTAGGGTAAAAAATGTCATAATTGGTTGCATTAGGTATTGAAAATTTTGGATTTTTGAAAATTTTTCAACTGAAACCATGTGAACAACAAAAATAAAGAAATTAGACTGCACTATTTGTTAAATATACAATATGGCGTGGTATCTAAAGTGGTAAGGTCCAACAGACTCAGTCAAAGTGACGTAAATGAAAAATTCATTTGTCAACTCTTTGGAACTTAAAATAAGTGAATTTACTATTTGACTTATAAAGGTCCGAACTAGATTTGTGAAGATAATGGTATGAAAAGTAAACGTTTTTATGAATTTGCAGGCTTTGAATAATAATAATTATTATTATTACATTAGGTATAATAACCTAGGTACATATACTCAGTAAGGAAATATTTTAAATAAAATTATATTGGATACTCTTAGAAATTTTAATAAGCAATTAATACAATTTTAGAATTGTCAACATAAACCTTTTAGTCTACCATAAATATACAGGGTGTTCTCATAGTTGAGTCATTTATTTTAACAGCTGGTGAAACTCATAAAAAGTCAAATTACCAAAAATCGTTTATATAAAAGTGGTCAAATAAAGCAATTATTAACAATTATTTAAAAAATTTTTTCGACCACTACGTTGTAAAAACATAAATTGTTTGTTTACTACTGATACTGGGTATGTCTTTTTCTGTAATTGCACGGTTTTGTGCGCTTTTCGGTTTGACAGTGCTAAATAATTCGTACTATAGTGAGTGATATTATTTTTGATTTGTGGGTGTTTTGTGCATTAAATATTTATGAAAACAATGAACTAGTGGACATAATATTAACTTACAGGGATTATCAACAAAATGCAGCCGCAGCGTGTCGCTTGAACGCGGAAAGGTTTCCTTTACAAAATCATCCCGCTCCGTGGATGTTCGTAAATTTAGTTATAAGACTCCGTGACACAGGATGTTTAAAGGAACAAGGAGGAGGTCATGCTGGAAGACCTCCTCCACGCGAAATGATGGAGGTCGAGGAAGAAATTTTAGAAATTGTCGAAAACGACCCAACAACGAGCACTAGGTCCATGTTAGTAAATAAACAATTTATTTAATCTCCTCGTTGTTCCTTTAAATACCCTGTGTCGCGGAGTAATAAACAAATAATTTATGTTTTTACAACGGAGTGGTCGAAAATGACAAGAAATCAGGTTTGTATTATAGTTTTTAAATTTCAATTTTTTAAAATAATTGTTAATAATTGCTTTATTTGACCACTTTTATATACCTAAACGATTTTTGGTAAATCGACTTTTTTATGAGTTCTACACAGCCTTTAAAATAAATGACTCAACTTTGAGAACACCCTATATACTTATTAGCCACAATACCAACTTCAAATTAAAAGATGTTTAACAACAATGAAATTTCCAAAACCTATAAATGTTGAAATATCGATGTTTAATTAAATAGGAAAATTAAAAGAAATATTGCAATGTTTCAACATAAACTAACAAATATTGATAAAGCCAACAAATCATGGTAAAATTTTGATGAATGAACATTTAGAATAAGGTAATTAAATTGAAAGCATAGAAATGAATACCTATTTATTAAGTTCTCATTATGCAATTTTAATAATTCCCCCAGAAAAACAGCTAATAAAAAAATACCTATATAAATTTACTACCGTATTAATACAAATATTACTCTGAAAATATGAAATTATGAAAAAAAGTAGGTACGCCGTTGCGTTATATTGAAAAATCATACTCGAAAATCCTCGAACATTTTGTTATACTTTTCGTAACAACCAAGATACAACGGCCAACAAAAATCGAGAGAAACTCTCTGTATATTGAAAACTAATCAAGAATTTGTGTAATTTGTTATTTTGTCATTGTTTATCCTATAATCTGCAAATCCATCTAAAATGGGCCAACATGTGTGTTATAGCAATTTTTAAATCGTCTTCTACGTCCACTCTTTCTACAATATAATTGTTTTGTCTTCCACAAAAATTTCCACTGTAACGTGCAGAAAACAGAGTAATCTCCGTTTTCGACCCTTAAAAATCTGGCTTATTCCATAGCAGGTAGTGAGAACTACAACAAACCTCTGTGATGCCTGACATGATGGGGTCCTGTGCTCGAACAACAGGGTTGTTCCATGTACATCGTCCAGCTGTTCTCGAAATCGCCTCTAACACCGCTGAAGAAATTGAACAACACAGTCACTAACAACAACAACTTCGTCAGGAGTACCTTTGAAACCTCCATGTCGCACGTGGCGGAGATTCGAACTGAACTGAACCTTTTTCAAATAAAAAAACTGCGAATTTAACTGTCCGGGTAGGTTTTCCTATTGGAACTGAAGCTGGTCGAAAGAACTAAAAACTGAATTAAAAACAATAAAATGTCCGCTCTTTGGTCACTCTCCCATGCAGGTGGGCCCTCAGACGCCTCCAAATCGTACGGTTTTATTCAGGGGAAGCTGTACGCGATGGCCAAGAAGCATTGTTTACGTCGTCGTGCCCGTAAAAACGCCCTGACACCAACACCCACTACAACGCGTCGTGTCGAACTGAACTTCTGTTTTCCGTTTCGGTAAATGGCGGTGCCGCTCGAAGCCCTCGCGCCCGCTCGGTCGTGTTCGGCCGGTGGAGAGACGCGAAGCGACGTTCAGTCCAAACATTGCGCTTCCATAGGCTGCAATGAGACGGGAGTTATCCAGTCGCTTTGGTCATTGCCGTTCTTTGCTCGCGGGGCGCAGCCGGCGAGCGTTTTGTTTTCACTTAGATTTATGCAAGGGGTTTATTATTTCGCTGCCCGATGTTACTGTGTCGTTATTACGCTGCTGATGGGCATTGTAATTGGGAATTTGGGGTTTATCTGGAAACACCGCTCCAACCGGAAAAATGTCTGGTCTTGTCTGGAGATCGGAACTAGAAGCGGTTTGGATTTCTTTGGTTTAATCGTTCTTGGCAATTTTAGATATACCTCTATCTTTTGTTTTACATAATGCCTAATAGACTAGGCCAGGGGTCGGCAAGTAATTTTAGGTGGGGTCCGGATACTTTTGAAAATTTTTAACGCGGTCCAGAAAAAAAATTCATATTTCTTATTTTTTATTTTAATTTGGACTCAAATTTAATCTGCTTACTAATTAAGAACTCAAAATACTCTCACAATTGTAAAATACTAGAAAAAATGATAAGATTGGCACTTAAACGTAAAAAACATTTTTTAAATAATTTATTTGAGTAATTAATACTTTCAAAGAATTTTTGGCGGTCCAGTATTTTACCTTCCGCGGTCCGGACTTGGACCGCGGTCCGCCAGTTGCCGACCTTTGGATTAGGCGGTATCTGTTTTGGTTTGGGTGAATCGTATATCCACGGAGATTTTTGGCTTTCTGGTTTTCAAATATCACTAGAAATGAAAATTTTTCTATGCGCATAAAAATAAACCTGTGCTTAACTTTTGGCGGCACAATATGTTAAAAAAATTCGAAAAATGTCATATTTTTCTTCCTATTCAATTATGTATCTTTTCAATAGTTGATTTTATGCGAAAATGTAAGAGGAAAAAATGTTTGTAATTAAATTTTTTACAAAACATGACTAGTTACAAATCGAATGAATCATGGTGGTTCTTCGTAAACATTTCAATTTGCCAATATTATGTGACAATAAATTCGCTACAACCCATAAAATGAAAACAATTCTAATGCAGATATTATTTTTACCACAAAGTGAACTACATGATTGTGTGTTAGTTCAATAATAAGAGTAAGACTGCGGCGCGCTGTCGAGACCTATTGTGGTCCATTAGATCAGTCTCTCCTGTGATTTGCAATCTTTGACTTGTAGTTTGTAACTGCTCAGATGCACTCATACTTTTTCTTTGCTACACCCAAATTTTCTACAAATTTCGATGATATACAAATTTTAATGGTGGTTTCTACGTCATAAATAAACAAAAAATTCAACAAACACATGCGCGGAAACTCTTTGCTTTCGAGATACAGTGTGTTGAAGTTCGAGGAAAAAAATACATAAAAATTTATATGTGTGCATATTATATTGGATTGCTTTATACAAGGTGTAAGAAGTTTGACTGCTATTATTTTAGCATTTTAGCAAGGAGAAACACCTGAAGAAAAGGAAATAGTGGTACGCAAAAAACACTCCGTCACAGTCAAATTTCAGATATCAACTGAATTATGTATTGCTGGTTGCGGGACTGTTAGTACCTCGTGTTAATAAACCGTCGCGCCCTTGTCACATTGCTCGATATGAATTTTATCGAATTTTAAATGTATTAAGACGCTAATTATTCTTTAGAATTAAGCACAAAGTTTAAAAAAGTAATAAACATTGTATTTTATGGTATTCTTTGCACGCAGTTATGTCAGTATTCCTTAATTAATTGAACTATTGTACATCAAGTTGGAGATTTTGATTATTTTTTCTCGGAAATGGTTGAGTTTAGGATCCATGTCATATAAGGTTTTTGTTTATTTTAATGTATTCTACCAACTGTTAAAATTAAGGCAGTCAAAATTCTAACACCCTGTATACGTTATTTTTAATTTTTACTGCCTTCGTAAAAAACCTGCTATATCAAGTTTTACATTGTACTATTATTTTAAGAAATCTGTTTAATTAATTGGTTTATAATATTCTGTATTATTTTTATCTTTACATATAATTCAGAAATTTATATTATTTATATCAGTCTAGAGAATGTGTGTCGTTAATAGAATTTCTTAATTTTTTTAAATTATTTCCCCCTCACTTAATACGTCGTAACCTGCTCTGGAAAAATATTTATAAGTATATTTTAAAAATTATATTTTTTTCTTCTTAAAAATGCTGTGCAGTTTTCCTGTTTCTTAGTAAAATTACATTTAGGTGTCGTAAATGTTCATATGTCGATGATGTAAATTTACATTTTCGGTGAACTACATAGAGTGTAAAATTACAAACTTAATGTAACTTTACTTGTATGCTGTAAGATTACATTACCTGCGGTGTAATTTTACATAAAATTTTTATGACTGTAAATTTATGAATTTCATTGAAGTATAGGAATTTCTAATAAATCAGTGGTGTTATTTCAAAATGGGCCTTACTCCCCCTTCCCCTTACTGAAAAGTCGCGTTAGGCACAATTTTTTACAAAATCTCGCCGCATCATCGCCGCAAAATGTCACGCGACCACTTTACAGACACATAACTTAGAACCTCCATCCAGTTAGAGTATCTCGAAACCGTTCCATTAGGGCCTAGCGGGGCGACCAAACTACATTATACACAATTACGGTGTTTCATCGGGGGCCGTATAGTTAAGTTTAACAATAGATTTTGACGTTACGGTCAGTATAAATTAGGCGGAATTCGACAAATTCGGCGATGAAACTTGCCGGAGCCCATTCGTTATTCGGGAAGGCCCAGAAATGCACGCCCCGCTATTATCGACCGATGCCGGTTGTTAATCTACGGGAATTGTTGTTTCGACTGATAATTTTTGTTTGTCGGGGACCGAAACGTCGGTTTATAATCGGTATCTAATAAATCTGTGGATGGTGGAATGAAAAAGGGCTTAGTGTACTTACTGGCTTCAATGATACACGAATAGTTTCAGGAATTGAATTGATACTTTAAATATGAGTAAAAGAAAATTCATAAAATTGTTCGTAAGTAAAAATAGTTATTTATGTACCAAGGGAGATACAGGAGAAAGCAAGTCGCCTAAGGGCATAATTATCCTAGTATCTCCCGTGGTGCATACAACGTTTTATTTTTTACTTAGACATCTGATTTAATATTTACTTCAAATTTAATAATTAAATGTAAATGAGAATGAAAACAGTTTTTCAATATGTAAACGATGTATCCAAGATGTATCTAGGACACCCGCAAATTTGTTGATTTTGATAGTTTGATGTTTGATTCTGAGGAGACATATTGAAAAGGCAGAATGGATAATATTCTAGCAATAGCTGCTGCTAGACCCAATGAAGCCAATGAAGAATTACTGCCTAAGAAATTTAAATTACTTTATGATAAAGAATATAAACGTTTTGAGACTGGACAAGCAGAAATTCAGTGACAGCTGTTAGTGAAACTATATTAATGGGATATTTCCAAGAACTCGGGTGTATTACATCTTTTATCACTAAAGAAATATTTTTAATTTTTGATAATTTATATTTATTATGTATCTTTTAGTCAGAATCATTCAGCCCTAACAGATTGTGGACAAAGTATTCAATGTTGAAGACCACATTATTAGTACCCAGAAAAGTAAATATAGTTTGTATTGACCCTTGCTAGGCGGTTGCTAGGAAAACTGTACGATTTTTTTACCTGTATAGTCCAGGCGGTATCTGTTTTAAAAAGGGTATACTTGGGTAAAACGCATATGATCGGAGATTTTTGCTTTAACCGCTTCTAAATAACATCAGAAATGATAATATTTCTATGCAAATTAAAAAAAACGTGGGCTTAATAATTGTCATTGTAAAAAAGGATAAAAAAATCGCAAAAAAAATAATTTTTTTGGATTTTCTTGAATAATTATTGTTATTGCAAAAATCGGATAAATAATTTTTCAGACACGAATAATACCTAGGATCTTCATACTTTTCCCAATTAAACTTCTTAGTGCATAGAATCATCACACCAAATTTAATCCAATTCGGTTCAATAGTTTTTACATAATAATTGTTTAAATTTTTTTTAAATTAAACAATTTTCAAAATCAAATTTCTAAAAATCTAAAGCCTTTGAATACTTAAAAATTTCACCTCAAAAAGAAGAGCTCTCAAGCTTTAAAATGGTTTTTGAAAAATTCAAATCGGACGATTAGGTGAGCCGTGGTGATTGTTAAACATTTTCGAAATTTTCACGCTTATAAACAATTGCAATAATTTAATGTTTTTTCAATTTTTTTTTTATTTTCAAATATGGTTTGAAAGCACTCGGAAAAACGAGTATTTAAAAAAAAACCTGATGATCTGCCCATTATTTTCGGAGTTATAGCCCGTTAAAATTAACCCTTATTTACAGCAAAACTATAAGGGTATAAGGGCTGTTTTTTGAAGTAATAGGTTTGTCATTCCAAGTACTTTCCAGATATAAATTTTCAAAATTTGCAATCACGGGCATTTAAAATGTCACTCAAAGATATTCAAGACCGCGTGAAATCAATGAGGTATCAGTGGTGGGGGGAGCAAACACACAACTACTCTGATCTGAATTCTCGAGTTCAAAACTGCGACGCTCGGAAAAATTTCACTTATCAGCTTCTAATGAACCAATTTCCATGATTTTTTTTTAAATCGATGTCTCGCAACTTAAAAAATTCAATTCTCATATTTTCAACTACCTTTTATTATTAATTATTGAACAAAAATTACTTCTTTCTAACAGTATTTGTTCCTTTTACTATTTTTTTTAAATACATATATACATATTTTATTATTACCTCTCGTATTTTTTACTCTATTTTAAAGATATTAATGTAATTCAAACAAAGTACGGGA